TGCTCTTCCGATCTACAATATAAATAGTAAGCAAATGTTAAGAAAATAATTATACTTACTATAATCGCAGTTGCATTTACTACATAAAAATATTCATTTTATTTATCTCATTCATATTTTGATACTTTACTATATTAATACTTGAAATTATTACAATTTATAGTAAAATTTTTTCATATTTGATAGGATTATACATATAAGGTTATTACATATATCACTAACATTATAAATAATAATAACTATAAAAATAGTGTTCCTAACCATAATTTTTTTGCCATGCAATTATAGTCACAAATACAAAATATTTTTCTCTCAGTGCTTTCTCCCTTGTTTATCCTATCGTTTTAAGTATAAAAAATTCCCGATTTGCAAAGAGGAAAAGTTTTAAGGTTTTGCGCCTATACGCGCCGACGTAGGTACTCGAGACGGGAGCATCGTGTCGCGTGGGCTCTCGTAATCGCGATTACGGGATACTATTGAGCATTGAGTATAGTGGACGGTGGCGAATGGTATCTCCATTGAACCGGCACACTACCGGAAGCGGTCGTTATCCGAACGCGGTCGTACCGAGGTCGCTCTTGAAAATCGGGCCTCTGTTCCGCGCACCGTGAACGTCTCTCTCACCAACGTCACGTGTCGAATACGCGCCGGCCACGTGTATCTCTCTCTTTCTCTCTCTCTTTCATGAGAAGGTCGCAATTACGCCTGGTACGACCGCGAGCACTGTGAGAAAACTGGTCCATTCGGATGACGGACGCTAAACCCGTGACGCCATCATCCGAATGGATGGCAATACTGTCAGTTTGTTTTCAAAGTGACATTTAAGATGTGGAACGGGTGATTTAACATAGGCACAGCTCACACGAGATCGACGCTTGATTCCTTAAAAAAAATAAAATGCATTTCTCTCGATTCTATATACACTGCGCGATTCTCTGAATGTTTTATTCGTGCGATCGTATACCTATGTATCTATATGGGAGAAACGTAAAACGGCGCTATCTTGACTCGCACGTCATTACTTTTAAATCATAATTTCGTTGTGTACACCTGTACGTTTATTTCGACTGTTTGTATTTTGTTGTATTACACCCGCATGATTTATTCATGATTTTTTTATCGCCCATTTTTTACAGCATGGCCGCTCAGACTCGTACAGGGTCGCCACATTACCCAACATTCGTGACGACAACAAAACCGCAGATGGGATGTACAAGGTATATTCAGGATGGGCTCTTTATGTCCGTATACGAATTCTATATAATTAACATATCTGGGATCTGGTGCGCTTTTTTGAACCAGCAGATGGAATAAACCGAACTCTTCTGTGTCTCTCTGTTTCTCTCGCTCTCTGTCCCTTTCTTCTATTTCTCTTTTTCTTAATTTCTCTTTTTTTCCCTCCATTTCTTATCGATAACAACGTCTAACGCTTCTCTTCTTAACTGTGCCTCGACAGGAATTTTCTTCAAGGAAATTTCCTTCGTTCTCGAACTATCTCACACTTTCGGATCTTCATCTCTTTCCGCTTTGGTATTAGCTTTGTAATCGTAATTATTATTTTAACGCATGACAAAAGGGAATTTTATTTATTCGCGGTTTAGGTTTCGATTGGGACAACGTTGTGATCGCATTTTAATGACTCGACGATTTTCGACAGTCGATATAGCAACATTTATATTCTCTTAAGAAAAGAAAGCTTCGTACACTTTATTCAATAACAATGTGTAAGATGAGATAATTAAGATTGCATTCGGATCTACATTAGAATGAAAGACAAGGAGTTTAAACTCAATTTTGAATGCTCGAGAAATAATCTACGTTATTTTGTACATAGTCGTGTCCGCACACTTGGAAACTTGGTTACTCATCAATTATTTTCGCTGACATCGCACGACTCCGAAACATTCCTATCATTCTAGTGCAATCCTATCTCATCTTACGAGATATCATTACGGCTCGGTTCACCTCGCCTCTCGGCGGTATTGTTGCAATCGATTTCTTCTGCTACAAAGGCTGTTCTCATTCGTCGCTGGGTTTTTCAATCTCTTTTCGGACTCTTGTAATTCGACGCGTTTCGATAATCTTCTCTACTTCTCTTTTTTATTTTATCAGTTATCAAGAATATCTCGTCGATTAACGTTTCGCAGTAACACAAATGTGTAATCGCTTCGGAGCTTTGTAATTGTAGCTGTATTATTATATTAAGGTTGTGTACACGGCGTGGATATTATATATGGTGAAGGTGTTATCAGAAAACGTCTTTCGATAACGTTGTTTAATCTTCTTTCTGTCTGTTTCCGTTAACAGTCGCGGCGGAAGAACCCAAAGGGGCGGCGGGGGGACAACCTAGATGACCTGAAGCAGGAGTTGGACATTGACTTCCACAAAATCTCACCCGAGGAACTATATCAAAGATTTCAGACGCACCCCGAAAACGTAAGTATAACATTGTGCGATAATCTCTTTTCGACATTGCGTATAGATGCATCATCGATCGGCATTAGCATGTTGAGCGTCGCATCTTGACGAAATAAAAATATTACAGCTGAGTTATAGCTTCTCTTCTGCAAAAGTAAAATAAAATGTATAAATGGAAATTAGTTGACGACGTTAAACGATGTTAAGATTGAGCTGATTGATGAAGGATCGACGAATGCAGGGAGAGAGAAAGAGAGAGACGTGTTAATAATATTTATATGAAATTTATAGGGCCTCAGCCACGCGAAAGCGAAGGAGAATCTGGAAAGAGACGGGCCGAATGCCCTGACGCCGCCGAAGCAGACTCCGGAATGGGTCAAGTTCTGCAAGAACCTGTTCGGCGGTTTCGCTCTCCTGCTGTGGATCGGCGCGATTCTCTGCTTCATCGCGTACTCGATCCAGGCCTCGACCAGCGAGGACCCGAATGACGACAATCTCTACCTGGGCATCGTCCTCGCGGCGGTCGTGATAGTCACGGGTATATTCTCGTACTATCAGGAGAGCAAGTCGAGTAAGATTATGGAGTCGTTCAAGAACATGGTGCCGCAATTCGCCACCGTAATCCGGGAAGGTGAGAAGCTCACCCTACGGGCGGAGGATCTCGTGTTGGGCGACGTCGTCGAGGTGAAATTCGGCGACCGGATACCGGCCGACGTCAGGATCATCGAGGCCCGTGGATTCAAGGTGGACAACAGCTCGCTAACGGGCGAGTCCGAACCGCAATCGAGGTCGCCCGAGTTCACGAACGAGAACCCACTCGAGACGAAGAACCTCGCGTTCTTCTCGACGAATGCGGTGGAAGGCACGGCGAAAGGCGTGGTGATCTGCTGCGGCGATCAGACGGTGATGGGAAGGATCGCAGGTCTCGCGTCCGGCTTGGATACCGGCGAGACGCCGATCGCTAAGGAGATTCATCACTTTATACACCTCATTACCGGTGTCGCTGTCTTCCTCGGCGTCACATTCTTTGTCATAGCCTTCATCCTGGGTTATCATTGGCTTGACGCCGTCATCTTCCTAATCGGTATTATCGTGGCGAACGTACCGGAGGGTCTCCTCGCTACTGTGACCGTGTGCCTCACTCTGACCGCCAAGCGAATGGCCTCGAAGAACTGCCTGGTGAAGAATCTCGAGGCTGTGGAAACCTTGGGCTCGACCTCGACCATCTGCTCGGACAAGACCGGAACCCTCACGCAAAATCGTATGACGGTGGCGCACATGTGGTTCGACAATCAGATTATCGATGCCGATACCACGGAAGATCAGTCGGGCTTGCAATACGACCGCACCAGTCCGGGATTCAAGGCGCTGGCGAAGATTGCGACCCTGTGCAATCGTGCCGAGTTCAAGCCAGGCCAAGAGGGCGAACCGATTCTCAAGCGAGAGGTTAACGGCGACGCCTCCGAGGCCGCGTTGCTCAAGTGCATGGAACTGGCATTGGGCGATGTTATGGGCATTAGGAAACGCAACAAGAAAGTCTGCGAGATTCCCTTCAACTCTACTAATAAATATCAGGTATCCATACACGAATCGGACGATCCCAACGATCCTAGACATCTCTTGGTGATGAAGGGTGCTCCCGAGAGGATTCTAGACAGGTGCTCGACCATATTTATCGGCGGCAAAGAGAAGGTATCTATAGATGAGAGAGGACACTTATCTAACGGACACTTGTCTATCTATCTACCTGTCTATACGTATCTTTTTTTAATTTTTAAACTCCTCGGCATCGTAGCTTCTCGATGAAGAGATGAAGGAGGCGTTCAATAACGCGTACCTGGAATTGGGCGGACTCGGCGAACGAGTGCTCGGCTTCTGTGATTACACACTGCCGTCCGACAAGTTCCCGGTTGGCTTCAAATTCAATGCCGACGATCTCAACTTCCCAGTCGACGGGCTCCGCTTCGTAGGCCTGATGTCTATGATTGATCCGCCTCGGGCCGCGGTGCCCGATGCGGTCGCCAAGTGCCGTTCCGCCGGCATCAAGGTCATCATGGTTACCGGTGACCATCCGATCACTGCCAAAGCCATTGCCAAATCCGTCGGCATCATCTCTGAAGGTACACATTCGAGATTAGATATCACCGCGCCGCGCGGTATCTCCGAAGCCTTATTCGCGCCGATCTCGATTATGATATACTTTTATGAGTTTAATCTCTTAATGAGACGTAATTTCAGGTAATCAAGTCGCGCTTAAGATTTACAACGATCTCATTTATTCGCGGAATTTAGGGTGGTTTTATTGAAGATTAATGCCACGTTCGCGTTGGAAAAAATTAAAAATGATATACTTGATATAAGTGACATGTTTATCCTTTTGATAATTAGTAATCTCCACGTATATTTTAATCAACAACGCGTGGAATAATTATTCGCTTTTAATATTTAATTATATACTGATAATTGTATTGTTCTCATTTTTCTAAAAAAAAAAAAAAAAAGAATTTTTGTTATATTTATTTTAATCTTATTAATATTATTATTACTTTCTTTTAGGTAACGAAACCATTGAAGACATTGCGCAACGGTTAAATATCCCGGTATCCGAAGTAAATCCTCGCGAGGCTAAAGCCGCAGTCATTCACGGAACAGAACTCAGGGAACTGAACTCCGACCAATTGGACGAGATTCTCAGGTACCACACCGAAATTGTGTTCGCCCGTACCTCGCCTCAGCAGAAGCTCATCATCGTTGAAGGCTGCCAGCGAATGGGCGCAATTGTTGCTGTAACTGGTAAGTTACCTGACGGAAAATTAACGTCACTTTTTACCTATCAGCTTTTTTACTGCTAGAAGAAATTGTTCAGAAGTTACAATCCTTGAATTACTTTGATCGGATTGAAAACTAATTCACATTTTTTCACACAAGAATTATATTAATTATGCTATAATAATTATCTATGACTGAATGACATGAGCATAAACGTTTGATTTATTTTAGGCGATGGTGTGAACGACTCGCCTGCTCTGAAAAAAGCTGACATTGGTGTCGCTATGGGCATTGCTGGTTCGGACGTCTCCAAGCAAGCAGCTGACATGATTTTACTCGATGACAACTTCGCTTCGATCGTAACAGGCGTGGAAGAGGGTCGTTTGATCTTCGACAACCTAAAGAAGTCCATCGCCTACACCTTGACCTCGAACATACCCGAAATCTCGCCTTTCTTGGCATTTATCCTCTGCGATATCCCTTTGCCGCTGGGCACCGTCACCATTCTTTGCATCGATTTAGGAACTGACATGGTGAGTCATGAAATACTAGTCATGAAAACGATGACTCGAGTCGAGTAACAATATTTGGAAGAGATGTTCACACACATACACACACACATCTCACTCTTTAAAGCTCTTCCAAAGTTGCTACTCGATTTTTCCTTCTTATTAGCTAATCGAATTATTTCAGCACTCGCGTTCGCCATCATGATATTAATAGCTTATACAGTCACAAAGCTACAACTGTTTCTTAAAGATATTGGCAACCTTTGACGTCTTATATTATTGATAGGTACCAGTGTGATATGTTTGGAATACTAAACCTGATACCCGTCGACTGTATATTGTGTAAACCAACAGTTCTTCGAAAATTCGTTCGACGATACTCTTCTTTTTTTTATAGATTTTAGCGATGCATTCGAACCAGTCAAGGCGGTGGTCAGGAACCTGTGCTCATCGATTAATCTCTTGAATATTTTTATTTCTTTTTAGATTAATTGCGCTGATGGAGCTTGAGTAAAATAAAAAAAAAAAGAAACGAAAGCATAATTTAGATAAATTATTTTACAGGAATTTAAAATTAAAACAATGAACAAAGTACGAAAAAATATGAAACGATAAATTTGAGTAGGTATAGAGATGTCTATCGCAACGAGAGATGTTTGTAGTTTAACGTTTCTTTCCAGGAAATTTTATCTCTGCGAGATAGCTGCTTACTGTTTATCCAGAAAATTTCCACCGCACAAATTTCCTGCGAACTTCCTCGATTCCTTCCAAAATCAGTTTCTTAATCAATTTAGTTTCTTTATTTTTCAGTTGATTATCTTTTGTTTATTCTCTATGCTTCATTGTGCATAAGAATGCTGTCGATTCGATTATAATCTTCGTTTGATTTCTTTTATATCAGATTGTATAGAGAGATTAGTAGCTTAATTTTTAAGTAAGATAAACGACACGACAGCATTCTTACTTCAGCATCATTCGAAGACATTCTCGTTATTTAATTGTTGGCGTTATTACTGAGCTCTTTGATAATGTGACGTCAGGTACCCGCCATCTCGCTAGCCTACGAGGAGGCGGAGAGCGATATTATGAAGCGACAGCCACGAAACCCCTTCACTGACAAGCTAGTTAATGAAAGGTAACACATCAATGAATATTGACAAGCTACATCAGAATTTCTATAATTCGAAAGAGTCATCGGTGATGATACACTGTATTTTCGAAGCCTTTTTCCCCGATTGATGAGACGAGTTCAGAGACGTGTTTATCGAAATATTTCGATAAAACTACTTGCTAACTTGGTTAAAGCGAATTTATCAAGTAATTATTTATAAGTATGTTTTTTTTTAAATCGGGTAAAGCTTCGGAAATTCAATTACACGGCGATCGCTCTCTCACTCTATTGGCTACACATTTCGTCTTTCTATTGACGACTTTAGTAGTTAGTGCGTTCTATCTTCTATTATACGGAGTGTAAAGTTCGATGCGGGAAGGCGACATGCATATATTGGTACTACATGCCTCTTTCTTACTCGTCGTCGTTTGACATCCATGTACGACAGGGATTGCGAACTGGGTAACAACAATTCGCGGGCAAATTGATTCCTCGTATAAAATAAAGGACTTTTCTCTTCCTTCTTTTTCGATTTATATACGCCAGATTAACACATAAATTTTATCAGACAATATTGCACTCTTCAACTTGTTCATGAGTATTGTTTTTGTAAATATTCTAAACAGAGTATAGAAGTTTGCTCTTTTTCTTTCCCTTCTTAAAATTATTATTTCAATTGCAACATACTTCGGCCATTGTTGCTAATTTGCATTTGACAAAATTCACGCGATGTAGGGATTAATTTGCCAAGCCTGTCGCTCGAGTTGTTGAATTGGACACGCTAGGACAAAATGTGGATAAGGTAATAACGGGATATGGTACACGCAGACGCAACGCTCCAAGGTGTTTGGTCGCTGGGAAACACGCGAGCTTTATTTTCAGTCTGTTTTTTCTTCTCTCTATTCGTATCCTATACTCGCTCTAACGATAAGCTGGATTGAATTTCGTTAAGCGACGCTTGCTCGTCCATGATTCATCTCGTCGACCTTCTTAGAATAATAAAAAATAATCCGTCATTATTATTTTATTTAAAATAATAATTTGTGTCGTTGAAGAAAATGGGTCAAACGATGATCGTGACATTAAACCGCTGTTTTGTCTTAATCGTATGAAAAAGGTGAGGTCTTGCAATTTATGTTTTAATTAATATATGTACCTTCCCTTTTTTTCCGTTTGACCACGGAAAGCGAGACGATTTAATTGCGAGACGAGCAATCGTGTATTTTTTCCTTTCGACGAATTTTTTCCTTCCTTTTATATCGACGGTCACAGGCGCTTCCATCACGACAACCCTCGGTCATATTAGTGTTGTTTCGTTACACGAAGGTAAGCCAATCGCACTGTAAAGCCTCTCTCTCTCTCTCTCTCTCTCTCTCTCTTTACATCTAACTCTTTATTAGTATCTCTAGTTTTATTCTCCTTGAACTCAATTTTCCCATCATTTTATAATTCCTCGCTCCGGTCGTCCAGTCTGTCCTGGTCTGTCACTGGCTTGAGGTGTATATGGGTTGCTGAAACGTCCACGGGACATATAGATACAAGCGTCGTTGTGAAGAACTCGCATGATCGTTCCCTTCAGCATTTTACTTATCTCGCCTTTTTTTTCCTACTTGAAAACGTCTTTATTTATGTTATCGCCATCCCCTGTCCCATCTTTCTTTTCGTCCCCTGTCTTCTTTCGCGTGCGTACGTGCACGCGGTTTTATATATAAATTTATATCTCTCTTTCTCTTCAGCTACATACGCTCTGTATCTCTATATTCTTTTTGCCATACCATCCTTCATTCGCCGTATCGCGTATCCTGTCGCTGTAAGTTTCTGAGTCTCTCCCTCTCTAAATTGTGATACAAGTATCAAGGAATGCAAGGAAATTTGTATATTGTGTTGTGAATATTATGTGGTGTTTATTCATAAATGTGCAACTTATACTTTGCAAATCCGCTCCGCGTCGGTATATTTACTACGAAGATTCGTACGACGATATAGAGATTGAACGATAAGAAAGTTTCGCACGTTCCGAAAGCCCGAAATGTTCTCATAGAGTAAACGGTAGTGTGCCTCTCTCTCTCTCTCTATTTCTCTTTTTTCCGTAGAGTAGAATAGCATTACGATAGAATAGAATTGTCATCCGTATACGTCGGTTTTATGCATATATGAAAATATGAACGTGATTTCTTTTAATCTCTCTTATCCTTTTTTTCACTCTTTTTTCTCTATTTCTATCTCTCTATTTACCTCCATTACTCCTGGCTGCCTTTTTTACTTCGTGCCAGGTTTTATCGTTGCTGCGCCTCGCTCAGAAAAACGAAATTCTTTTCAACTTGGAATTGGTTCACTTATTTTATGGCTTTAGAGAAAAATCCATCCGATAGTCCAACCACGGTGTACGTATGAATGAACAAGAACATAAGTGTTGCGTGCCGGACAAATTAACAGAACCGTAAACTTGGTTAAATTATAAGATTTTTATCGAGAGATTTATTTATTTTTTTATTTTTTTATTCTTTCTGTCTAATCGTGTAGATACACAAATTGATTTTAATAATTTTATGCAGCAAATGAAGCTGTACGTTCACAATTATACACTAAATTGTGATTGAATCGATAGATGCAGAATAGCCATAGGTTTGCCGCCTGATTTCTACACCTGTGTGACGCGCATTGCATATCTTTCTCAGTTTCTTCTCTTTCTCTTTTCGCATCGGCAATTCCTTTCTCTTTTCTATCGAATTAGAATTTACCGGATTTTTCGTAGAAAATTAAGCATCTGCATCAAGCGATTCATTTTCTTCCTCTTTCATCGTCGGTTGAGCAACGATTGTTCTTAGTCATTTCGTAATTCAATGACAAGCAAGTTTCGTCGACGCAATCGCTTAGGGAAGGCAGGAACGAAGTTTTCGTTTTGGATGCATTGCAAAACGCATATCGGTTATGGAAATTAACAAATGTTACGCATTAGTCGACGAAACTTAAGTCCTAACCAGCTAGTTGAATTCTAATCTTTCACGTACATATATCGCACACTCCTGGAAGAACGTTACCGCAAATAGGCAATTAAATTTTTACAAAAAGAAAAACGAATGTATGTGATACGCAATTTTATAGGATAGCTCAAACAGCATGTCACTTTTCGCTTAAGTTAGATAAAAAAGATTTCATGACTTATGTAGTAGCATTTTTTGTAATTGCAAAGGTGAGCGACTTGAAAAAATTGAACTTGTTCCTTGTTTGAGTTACGGCAATCTTCTTGCAGGAGTAGTATATATTATGTATATAGATATATATATATTTATATATATATATATATCAGTATATATTTACATTAATCTTTGATGCTCAGTAATTATTACCATTATTATTCTTGTCCTCGTCTACTAGTCTTATTATCATTATTATTATTATTACAACCACAAACCAGCATCGTTACTTATAGTTACTGAATTTTTATTGTCATTACTATTTTATCTACTATATCACAGCTGCCGCTGCTACTACTTCTCTATATATTACTACTATTACTATACTTACTATTTACTATACTGTTCGTTACTTGCCACCATATATATCACCGCCAAAAGAGAAAGACACTTTTGTACATTTTTGAGCGTCATGAACTTTTCTTGCAGTTTTTTATTCTTTACAGTCCTCTCACGTTTTATTCTGTAATGCGCTGCCTACTGCCGCTGCCTTCTACCCACTCTGCGACTGGCAACTTTCTAATGGGTGCTGAAACAACTGATATACTTTTGCAAAAAAAAAGAAACATTCGCTAAACGGGAGCAGAATCCATATGTATTATGTTAATTGGAAGTGGGAAATTACCGTGGTAGCCCCCTTGTGCACAAGCGTAATTTTGTTTTTTGAAGAAAAAAAAAACAATTGTTCGATGACTCGTTAACTTGGTGGCGACATTTTTTGGCGACAATGTGCCGCACCCCGTGCAAATGAAAATGATTACGTGCATCAGGGGGTTACGCCGCGATATTAACGAAAACAGTGCTTGAGATCGTACTTGAAGTGCACGAAAGAGAGGGGATCTCTTTCACCTGGGTTCTCAGAAGTGCTCGATGACATCCATTTATCTTGCTTACCATTATATTCGCTCCTTTAGATTTGTAGGCCTCGATGATGCTAGCCTTGAAAAAAATCTTTTACAATTTCAATTTGAATTTAAATTTGAGTATGTCTAGTGAATTTTGTAGTAGTTTCATAACAAAACTATTTGGATCATTGTAATGCTTTCTTAAATCCCTGTACGTGTGTATATATATGTATATATATATATACATATATATAGTATATAGATAGTATATATGTGATTCATCGAGTATCGCTGAAGATGATAATTCAATCGGAGACGATTGTACTGCGAAAGCTGATGGTAACGATTGGAGATTCGCAGCGTGAAAATGTCGAAAGTGGAAAAAGGATGGAAGGTCCGCGTGTGCAATTCCAATCCTGACCTTTTTTCACTTGCTTAAGATATATAGCACATCGATCTCTTTTCCCTGGGCCGTACCTGGGCCGTCTGTCTAAACGCAGCGCCTAAATCCAATGCACAAATACACCCGCCAGTATTCGCTACCTATTCAGGTCCTCTTCTGGCTACACTTGGACCACAGTTTTACGCTACAATTTTCTAACGCATTTTTAACGGCACTATTTTCTAACGCAATTATACGCAATGGTTTCATTCCTAAGACAGGCTGCGTTTAAGATGGAACTGGTCGCTGCGGTTGAGCTTTACTCGAGCACCTTGAAAGATCGACTTTTCTGGCGTTTCGAAAGAATCGCATGTGAAAAACGCGAATATCTCGTCGCCTATATATATTACATATACATATAATGTGATGGACGCTGAACTGTCTTGTGCGATCTCCAAATCTCTCTGTCTCTTTCGCTCGCACTGCGCATACATACATACATACATACACACGTTATCGAGAGTGTGTGTGTGCATAAAGTACCAATAATGGTATAATATCTCTTGCATATATAACTTCTTTGTAATGCGGTGAGGGGTAGTTAGCGCACTTTCTAATCAGTGGTGGATGGCAGGTGCCGGCCATCTCGCTAGCCTACGAGGCACCGGAGTCGGACATTATGAAACGGCAGCCACGCGATCCTTACAGAGACAATCTAGTCAACCGAAGGTGGGTCTTCCAATTACCCACCTAATTGAAAGAAACCAACAGAAACCATATTGCACTTACGTCCGTACCATGTCAACTCACATAACACACTTTTCTTACCGTTATCTCACTATTGTCTACTCTAGTTTTTCACATACACGTAAACACACAACTAGCACACCCGCCAGGGCCGTCAGACGTGATTGATCCTTTGCTTGGCAAGTAGAAAGTACCTACACGGAAGTAACAACCGGAAAATTCGATTCCCAGCATGCGCGAATATTGCCTGATGTTACTAACAATTCGGGATAGATTAGAAGCGATAGATTAGCTTAGTATGTCCAACAAAGGGTTAATCGAGATTATAACTACTGATAGCGAGATAAACAATGGTTGTTACATAGTGATATCGCGTGTTAACGGAGAATAAAATGCGTTTTTCGATGAATAGCGTACGTAATGCCGTGTGTTTTCGATAATTAATTGACCGCTCTGACGATAGTAGATCTCACACACATACACACACATACACATACACACACGCACACACGTGCGTACACACATTACATATGAATGTGCTTGTGAACCGAGTTAGAAGTAACCATGCCAGCCATTCTAGAATTGTCTACGCGTGCCGCGTTCTATATATTCACCTGCATGATGCAGTTAATAACTGCGTCCTGGGACGGCTATTGTGCGATTCTAACTTGGATCGCAATGTGTACACACGACACTTAATACACAACAGCACGTAACAGAGTGTTTACTGGCTTTGGCGATGAATCGTCATGATACCATTGTCTTCTTCGTGAAGACTTTTATTTTTATTAACGTAACGTCACACGCGCTTGTTAGCTGCAGCAGGGAATCGGTCAGAGGATAAATTTATTACGTCTCCCCAAGTTTTTAAAGTTTTTAAAGTTTTTTTTTTTTTTGAGATATTATCATTGGGAGATAAAACGAAATGGTAGAAATCCTAATTTTTCTTCTTCTAAACATTTTGATTGCAAGTGGACACGTACTCGGTAGACACTCTGCGTTAGCAAAACAAACGACATCCGACTTGAAAAATTTAGTTGACTAGCATAGAGCACAAGCAAGTTTTACCTTATAGAGAACAGTTTTCAGATGTTGAGAATGCCGAATGCTTTTTTTAGACCTAAAATCCGATCGACGACTAATACTGCGATCGTTCAGCTTCAACTTTATACTGTGTTACTTTTTTTCTAATCGTTGCACTAGATGTATGCGCGCAAATCGCGGACGAAAACACCGGGAATTTTATCAGTATTGCTGTCAACAATTGATTATACGTCTATTATATTGTAGATGTTATTCAAAATCCAGGAGAAATTGTACATTCAAAAAGATCGAAAAAATTTGATCCGTGCTGACAGCATCGCTTCTTAATCTACCGATTATCCGATTCAATGGATCTACATTTGTTTCTGGAGATTTTATTTGATAAAATCAGATGGAATACGTAAAATTTTATTTTATAATATAAAGAGAATTTAAACAAAATTTTTTTTATGAGAAACAGAAATTTTAGTTTCGTAATATTTTCTTACATCAATACGTTCCGCAAATGCCTGATGTATGTACATACACATTCGTTTTATAGAAAGTTCTCCAGAAGATAACAGAGACAAATTTCCAAAGACAAATGCAGGTGTAATGGATTTCCACGGTAAACAGAGGATTAAACATCGTCGGAAAAAACATTCACCGAAAAAAAAAAAAAAAAAATGGTGAACTCGAGCTACCGACGAGGAGTTTTCCGCGGAGTGCACGTTTCGCCTCGAATGTTTTCTTTTTCGCTATCTTTAATCTATCTAATCTCTCACTTATCTTATACTTCTCATTGACGTTAGAGAGCACAAGCCCATTTACAAGAGTCGCCCGCGCCGAGAGCAACAGCTTTTGGAGAACGACTCGACATGCACGGCTTGGGCGGCCTCTTTCTCTACCACGTGAACAGCGTGATCCGTTGCGCGGCAATCGCAACATTTGCAATTGCCGGCTTGTGCCGCTTTATCGCCGGCTTATCTCCCGACGAATTGCCTCGACGTCGGGAATTTTAATTGTATTGCCCGAGCTACTTGACCTTATTTTTTTCTTTACATTTGCGCGATGCCATTGGCACGCTTGCTGTATACGAAACACTATTAACAAACTCTTTTACATCTTCCACTGACTGGACCTGACAAGTCAGCCGTCGGCTTAATGGTGGCCGTGACTAATCCAACTATGACTGTAATCTGTCGCAATCGCATGCGACTCGTTTCCTGAGCTTAACTCTGCGCACAGATATCTCGCTGCACGTTTTTTTTTTTTTTTACACTAATTGCTTTGATGATATAGCCACGTTGATTGATTGTACGCAATCCGATTAGACTTGTAAACAAGTTTAATACGACAATAGTTAGTTGCAGTTAAGAAGAAAACGCGGAAGTTACAGTTTGTGTGTAACCATACCAATAATCTGACTTGTAGCTGTTAATTGAAAATTATCGATTATCTTTGTGTAGATTATTATTATAATTGCACTTGTGGTTTAGAGAAGCAAGAAACGTTTGTTTCGATCTCTTTAATCTTGTCGCAACTCATAATTTATTTACTTATTATCGTGTCACAATTAATATTATTAAATTATATGACGCGCAATGACATATATATTTCAGTTGGTTCACTAATAAGATTGTTAATGTTGCATAATTATTTGCGGCATTGCGTTGATGAGTAACGGTAGATTGTAGATTTTTTTCTAGTCAGATCGTTGTGTAGAATCGCATTCGAAGCGAGAGTAGAGATTAAGTCCGTCATTTGTAAGATCCTTCTTAAATGGGACATAAAACAAAATCACATTTAAAGTCTTATCTATATCATGGACTTGATCTATCCTTTTGCTTCGACATTTTCGATTACGATGTAAGATACTTGTGCCAATCAGTAGATCACTTTATTACAATTTTAACTCACAAGTTAGTCCGAAAGCGTGCGTGGGATAAGCTTTGGGGTAGTGCAAAGCTATTAGCGAGAAAGAATTAACGGGAAATGAGCAGCTTCGATGTTAACCGTGTGCAGCTTGCCATCGTGAAAATTGGCGAGCGATAGCGCTGTGTCTACTCTCGTCTGTCTGTCTGTCTATCTATCTGTCTGTCTGTCTGTCTGTCTGCTCTGTGTGGCATGCCTCTCTGTCAAGAATCGATCGTTAACAGTCTACCTATTGGTAAGTAATCTGCATTTTGCCCCTAACCGGTGACTATGGCTTCCCCGTAACTTTAACACGGACTATTAGACTAGTAGAAATAACATCAAAGTCGGACGATTGATGTGACCGAAGATTTCCTAGATTTCGAAGAATCTGAAATGTGCCGATTCTTTTTTGCTATTGAGAATCATTTGTGAAAAGTAGAATTTTCTTCAATGAGATTTGCCATTCGAAAATGCCTCTTTTTTTTTACTAAAAGATTCAGTTCTACGTTCACTCTTTCAAGAATTTCACGAAATCACGTTTTTAAACTAAATTTAATTTAAAGCTCTCTTCTTTAAAAATTTCGAAATTTTACATCGATATACAGAAATCTTGTTATCGTTATACGAGAATTGGTTTTGGAGCGTAAAATGTTGTTTTTAATGCGGTGAATTGATTATAGAACAAAAAGCCGGATTCTTCGAAAACTAACATCGAGTTGTGTTTTCAATTGTATAGGGACAAAATTCTTTAACGCATCTATTTGTATTTAGGCTTATTTCGATGGCGTACGGTCAAATCGGTATGATTCAAGCCGCGGCCGGCTTCTTCGTCTACTTCGTCATCATGGCTGAGAATGGATTCCTGCCTATGTATTTGTTTGGTATCCGGAAACAATGGGACTCCAAGGCTATCAATGATCTTACCGACAGCTACGGCCAGGAATGGGTAAATATACGATAGATATATTGAATATCTCGGAGATCTAATCAATCAAATATTAGAGAGAGAAAAAATTAAAATAAACGAAAACTGATATTTTATTCCCAGCAAAAACTTAATTTATAGAAAAAACTAATTTATATTGGATATGAATTACGAATTTCTCGACTGAGCACATTAGTAGAGAAACACACACACACACACACACACACACACACGCACGTGTATTACTCTAATATATATGGACTAATTAATGCAAATTTGTTTTTCTTATACAGACCTATAGAGATCGCAAAACGTTGGAGTTCACCTGTCACACAGCTTTCTTCGTGTCGATTGTAATTGTGCAATGGGCTGATCTGATTGTTTGCAAAACGCGCCGCAACTCGATTATTCATCAGGGAATGAGAAACTGGGCTCTGAACTTTGGTCTCGTGTTCGAGACCGCCCTCGCTGCGTTCCTAAGTTACACACCCGGTATGGATAAGGGTCTTCGTATGTTCCCACTCAAGTACGTATTTCTCACGTCTCTTGCTGTCTTCGATGTGTAACAAAGCAAATTTATATCGTAATATTTAAGACTAAATAAATGTGTATATTTAGTCAAACATTCAGCATATAGCTTTAAAGATTGCAATGGCAAATATTATATAGCCATTGTATTACAATTAATTTCAAAGTGGCATTTTTTTATAATGCGATATGAAAAAAAAAATAGCATGTGATTTACATGTGACGTTGCATTGCAGATTCGTATGGTGGCTGCCAGCTTTGCCGTTCATGTTTGCTATCTTCATCTACGACGAAACGAGACGATTCTACCTCCGCCGAAATCCAGGCGGCTGGCTTGAGCAAGAAACTTACTATTAGACGCAAAAAAGGATTAAATCATACGCATGCAGAACGCGCGCGCAAGAGAATGAGTGAACGGACGAAAGAATGAGAGCGAGAGTTAGAGCGAAAGTGAGAGAGAAAGAGAGAGAGAGAGAGAGAGAGAAAGAAAGAGAGAGAGCGCAAGAGAACGAGAGAAAGAGAGAGAGAGAGAGAGAAAGAATGAAAGAGACCGAGAATGCATACTCATACCTGAGAGAAATACACTTGAAAAAAAAAAAAGAAAGAAAACTAAAGTAAATCACTCATGTTGAACAGATGTAACACATTTCACAAGAGATGTGCTATCGAGTCTGTCCAAGTCACGTGTCAAGAGAGCAACGGGTGAACAACAAAGGACGCGCCAATAGTTTGCGCTGGCTCTCACACGACAAAAGAGACGCGAGATTATTGTATACAGACACGGAGAGGACTAGTGCTATATATATATATATTATATATAGGGTACAGCGCGAGGTACAAAAAGCACGCTCGTCGTTCTTGGCTTCGCTGCCAAAATTGCTTGCACGCGCGTGTCGTTTCGCCGTCGAAAATTGACCCGAGTGTTCGAGAGTTCGTCCATGAGAAGGAGGCAAGTTTCGAGGGGAATTCCACCATTAATTACTATCACGCAAATATACGATGCCGATCGGGAAGCCGCAGCGGTTCTCGCTCCGCGTCCAGACTATAACAACACGACTACGGGGCTTTCCGGGTGACGAATGGGACGCTGCCGTTGTCAAATCTGGCTGGGATATAACTCTGCGAGCGTCGCTCGAAGATGGAACGAAGGAACGAGAGAATGAAGTAGAAAAAAAAAATCGCTGAGTTGACGGCGCTGCAGTGCGACTGAGATGCACACGAGTGTTAGGCCTAAAGAATCGTGATACGACGCGACGAAACGTAGAAAGGTAACAAAAAAATAAAAATAAAAATAAAAAACAGCAACGAGACCGGAAATCCGAAACGGCAGCGAAAATGGACATACTCGAGAGAGAGAGAGAGAGAAAGAGAGAGAGGAGCGTTTACGCGCGATAGAGAATCACGGAATCAACGCGCGTCCTTATGTATGTCGAATGCGATTTACTACATTCACGCGACTTCTTACTATTAGTGGCGTATTAATATTAGACATCTTTGCGTTACTAAGAAACTTCGTAATAGGCTTTCATTGATCGTCGATCAATGCGCGCAAAATATCGGTACGCTAAGATCGGCGCACACACATACGTACACACACACACATACACAACACGTCCTCCATTGACAAGAACTTTATCTGGAAGACGGAAGATGAAAGACTCACTGAAAAATGAATCGGATCAGAGATCGTCGCGAGAGAGCAAAAACAAAAAAGTGCTCAATGTAACAGGAGACTCGTTAAAAAAGTTCTTAGAAGTTTCGCGTGAAACTACTTCGTACGAAAATTAATTGTTAATTGTAAACGAAGGACCCGATACGACAGATATCGGGTATGGTCTATAGTCATACGTCATGATAAAATAACTAAAATAAAAAGGGAAGAGAGAGAGGGAGAGAAAGAGAGAAAGAGAGAGAGAGAGAGAGAGAGAGAGGAAGAGTTATGATATATAATTAAATGAAATAAAAAATAATAAAATATAATTAAATAAAACAGCATTCTCACAGTATTTATTATTATTAATAAACTACATACGTTCGGTTTCGAATCTTAATCCGCATAGCTATCAGGAAAAAAAAAAAGAAAACGGCGAAAAACGTATCGCGTAGTTTCAGTAGTTACAATTTTTAGCGTGAGGTTAATATCACACTAACACACGCGACACACACACACACTTGGGAGGCAGAAACGGAAGAAAGGTGCGTGCTGAGGATTGGTTCTAACGGAGTGCGGGATGGTTCATCTCATCGAGCTCGAGCAGCAGGAGGAGGACAAGAGATAACGGGTGAAAAAATACAGTGGGGACAGTATATAATTAAATAAATATCAATTGAATCACTATATACCGATTGACAAAGACGGACTAATAAAGCGATACGTTATTTATAATTGCGCGTGCGGATAGTACAGCGAATAGAGGTCGTGGTCCGGTTGCCAGCAAACCGCGGCAAGGAAAGAAGGAAAATCCGCCGCGTGTCATCCGAGAAAATAAATAAATTATGAAATGTTGCCGATTAACGCGCGTGTGTAGAGGAGTGATGAGAGAGAGAGAGAGGGAGGGGGAGAGAAAGAGAGCGTTAATGTTCAATAAGGATAAGATAGCGAACGCCGAGAGTACCGTGGATACTTTGTATTAACGATGCAATGTGCAAGATGTGTGAAAAGAAAGAAACGGGCCGCGCGCGGGACAGAAGAAATGAAAAAGAAAAAAAAAAACAGAAACGTTCTTACTTAGATAAAAGCTAAATGAAGAATAATAAGAATTCCTTCTCTTAGTTTTTCATAGATTTAAAACGCCAGAGCGGGACAGCTCGCTAATAAATCATTAACACCCCCCCCCCTTCACAACGCGGAACGCCCTGTGTAGCAGCGAATTCGCGATCTCTGTCAGCCAGTGTCGGCGAGCGCGCGCTGTCCGTGTTTTACATGAGGTATGCGTGTGCGTGTGTGTGCGTTGTGCATTGTGTATTATGTATTGTGCGTGTAATGTCGAAACAACACACAACCGTGACTTAAAATGCCTGCCACGCGACTTTTTTTTCCCGGGCCAGGACGATCCGAGATTTCTCATTGATCCTCAATCTCGCAACCGAACACACACACGAATATACACACGTCCTCCCCGCTCGTCTCCCTCGGGAGTTTTTTTTTTTTTTTTCTCCAGTCGTTGCCCGCGTTTGCTCCGAACGCGATCGCGCGCTGCTCATTGGCGAGAAGAATAATCCGCGAGAGGAATAGGAATGTCTGAACGCGAGCAGAATTTCCTTTAACGGTATATCCGAGCGTGTATAATCGTGCTTGAGGAGATCGCACTCGTTTGTCGTTGAAAAGAGCCGTGAAATGTGATTACAATTAAAGGATACACTCGTAGCGATCGGACGTGGCAATCACTCCATTTTTTTTTGCAAATCAATAATCACTGTTCGTTGTTCGTTGCGGCGTCGTGTTAAGGCATGCTTGGTATATATACATATATATATATATATATATATTAAAATAGCGATTGTATTTCTTTGCGAAGAGAATGGAGCGATGTGGCGGTTATATTGTTACGAAAGATATACGTTATGATAAAAACCGCGAGGAAATCGCGCGTTCTCGCGGTCGAGTGTTAAGATTGTGGCGTTTTACGCGAACGCGGGTCGAGATAAGGCGCGGAGATATGCGACTCTCGGTCGGCGGTCTATAGGCCCCTAAAACTACCCTAAGTGTTCAATAAATCGAGGTTTTCGCTCGAGGTGTCCCCTGTGTGCGCGCGCGCGCGCGTATAAAACGCGACGAGACGTTTCTTCCTTCGCCGCGGTACCCATTCGTCGGTGCCGTCGCTTCGGGTCTCGCTACGAGTGAAACACACGACGATACGAAAAGGAGGGAGCGAACCGCGTCACGCGCGGTTCCCTCGAGCTCTCGCGACTTTTCTCTGTTACGTGCGCGGGAGGTCGCGCGAACCGTGCAGTTGTCCTGGATCGTTCGTCAGCTGGCCGATCAGCTGAGAACGATTTAAAAGACAGTCTTTGAGAGAGATATCGTCTAAAGGGAATGTCGCGTCGTGTGATATATATATATATATATACATATATATACATATATATATACAGGGTGTCTCATAATAGTATCACCGTTCATGGGTAGGTAGAACGGACTAAACTGAATCGAAAAGTCCTCTACCATTTTGCAAAATTCGCAATCGTTAACAAGATATTAATTTTTGAAGATCGGTAAATAAACTTAATATCTCGTTAATAAATGCGAATTTTACAAAATAGTAGAGGACTTTTTTGTTCAGTTTAATCTACTTATCTTGTCACGCACTTGCATTCAGCGGTGGGCCGGATGAATACGCGTTTATTCGTCAATCTTCAAAAATTAATGTCTCGTTTACGATTGCGAATTTTGCAAAATGGTAGAGGACTTTTCGATTCAGTTTAGTCCGTTCAACCTACCTATGAACGGTGATACACCTATTATGAGACACCCTGTATATATATTAGCAGGATGAGAATGGCGAAGCGGCATTTTTTCTCTCGAGTCGAGTCACGGGTGCGAGGAGGAGGGGGAGGAAAGGCATCGCGGATAAAAGCAGCACGAGGAATCCGTATATGTCGGGAGCTGGAATTGGCGATCCGTTTCACACAACTGTCCCGACTTGTCGTCGAAATCAAATTAAATGACACCGTGTGTATCGCGCGAGGTCTGTGCGATTCGAACGTTATACTCACAGCCATATACGGCGTTTCGCAGATCGATCTCGACGCCGATATCCCGATTAACTATCAATTCTCCTTCTCTGTCTGTTTTATATAGATGGAATTGTAATTTAGAGAGGAAAAGACACGCGCGCAGCGAATAGCCGAAACTAGAATTCGGAGTAGAGCTCGATTTTACCTCTTGTCTGTAGATCGATCGCTTCTGTCACAACGAAAATGCGGAAATTCAAGATGTTTCGTGCGCGATTGTTATTTTTTAACGGTGAATCACCGTTTCTCCAGTATGGATGTGCGTGAGAAAATACGGATTGGAGAGAGAGAGAGAGAGAGGAGGAGGGGGGGG